TTTCCTTTTAATAGGGAGGCCGTCTTGGCATTTGACCAGTACTTAAATACATTGTTCAGTAGAGTATAATGTAAGGGTGTGGTACAGTAAATGAAAGGTGATTTCTATTGTTTTTGTCATCTTTATGTTCTTGTTCCATCAAAACAATTGATGTTTGACCTATTTGTTTCTCATTTAAGAGGGATGTTTAACAAAGAATGTGTTTAACTTTTATTTTATTAACGCATTTGGTCAATAATTAAATTATTACAGATTTTTCAGTAATGCCAAAAATGTTAAATATTTAAGCAATCATTAATAAAATGTAGTGAACAAATAACTAAGACTACCTCAGGCTGGCTGAGCATAGGACAAAGGAGTGGTTGCCATATGGATACTTAAACTGCATTCAAATTAGCTGCCAGAGTGTGTATAAGAACATTTGTATGAGGTCAGAATGCAGCAGTCTTTGCCATAGAAAGAGGAGAAAAAAGGCAGTGATTGTGTGGCCACAGTGCTGGAATTAATGGGTCATCATATCTGAATGTGTGTGACTCTATCACCTCCTTCTGCCTTCCCATCTGTTACCCTTTTAAAGCAACAACTCTCCCAGATATTAAGTGTAAAAACATATCCTGGTTACATGCATTCACTGAAAAGTAATCAGTGTCATGCTCAAGTATGTCATCACAAGTGTCTGGCAGTTTAATAGGGAGTGCAACACGCTGCTTTGTTCAGTTGACTTTATTCATACTCTGCCAAATCACAACCATTGTCACCACAGGACATTTTACATAAAAACATAAGGGTCTGAATCTTATTAAGTTAAAATGTTCTCCGAACAGTCAGTTTCCAGAGAGTAAGATGAGCGACAGGGAAGTTGGGCAAAGAGTAATTTACAAAAGATTATAAACGACATCCATTAACTGTACTTTCAAGATTTAAAGAAGAATCTTGTCCACCTAACCTTCCAGCAGCGTAGCCTAATAGCAGCATACCCAAATGTATGGCTCACTTTAGCCTGTCCTAATAAACCTACCTGTAATTGAATAACCTGCAGCTGGACAACAAAGCACTTTTTTAGCACTGTATAACTATCAGATCCTCAGTAAAAGATCAGACTTGGTCATTTGGAGCTTCAGTATTAAAAAGAAAAGGTTTAAAATAAGTTGTCTTGATATTATAAAAGGAACTCAATAATTAGAGAAATATGAGCTCATGTTTTATATATTCATTAAACTCTAGCTGCACCTTTTCAGCTGAATCTTTCCTAAGGATTAAATTTTTTGTTTTTCTGGTGCTAATGCATTACACTAGTCCAAAATAAAAGCTAAACATGGATTAATAACTTTTTAAGAAGTTCATTTAGGCAGGGTGTTCCAATGTCAAGTGATTCTAAAACTGTAAAAAAAAAAAAAAAAAAAAGGGTTTCTCGCTCGCATGAAGAGATTGGGTGTAGAGCCAAAGACTGTAGTTTTCAGTCTTGTCCAAATTGAACATGTCCATGTCTTTATAATTTCTAGATACACCTGTAGAGTATATGATGTACCTTTTTCCTCATTCTACTTGTGAACAGTCTTGTTGAGGTGGAAGCCATCTTCAAACTGGTCCAACGAAACTGGAACTAAGGGGCCAAGCCCAGCTCATGAAAAACAACACAATCCTGCCTCCACTGCTCTTGAGTCCCGCTGTGGTCGCATGCATGCTTTGCACCGCTGCATCCAGCTGGGTGATGTTTGCCTCGGATGCAGCTGTTCTGCCATTGGAAGAAATTTCACGAAGCCCTTGATGCATTCTTCTTAAGCTAATCTGAAGAACACAGAGTTCATCTGGACCATGGATGTCAGCATCTGCTGCCCACACTCCATTGGGGCATGTGACCTACCACTTGGAGGCTGACTTGGTTTCAATCACAGTAGCTTCCACTTAGTTAGAATACCACTGACAGCTGATCGTGGAGAATATGTGGCATCCCATTACAGTACTAACCCAGATTTCACCAATTTAGGAGCAACACCTTCTTTTAGAAGTGTTTGTTAAATTAGTCTTGATGTGTAGGTGCTGGATTTTCTACCTTTGACCATGGATGTGATTAATACCCCTTACTTTAATTATGCGGATGGGTGAGCCACTACCTGTGGTAATGCAATGTTTGTAAAAATGTTCAAACTCTGTAGAAGCGCACTTTGATCCATTGTATTGCAGCACTGAGATGTTGCAAGACAAGTATAGACACAATTCCATTAACTGTAGCTAAAAGAACCTCATTTGCAATCAAGGCACTGGCATATTAAGCTTTTTAGCTGCCCTTCTAATAGTTCTAAACAGGGAGCAATCATGTAAACATGCGCTGGCATGTTTACTCTGAAGAATAAGCTTGTTTAGCTCTTTAGGCTGACCTCTCTGCTCCTACCCTGGAGGCCTTTTTCCATCCCACATGACTCTGAACTGATCTTTTAACTCAAGGACGCAGAGGGAGACGCATGCAGGACTGTGCACATGTGTGCTCAGCCGGCTGATCTTCAAAATCCAGCTGCACTTAGTAGCAGGTCAACACTGGTCACATAATAAGATACCTGGGTATTGATCCGACTTGTTAGACAATGCATGGCAAGAAATGAGTACATGCACATTAAAGGAGTAATGGGAAAAGGTTTTTCCAATCACGAGCCTCACATTTAACCAAAGATTGCATATTAATGCAGGGATGAAAACATTCTTCCACTCGTTGTGGGTCCTGCAAATGCAGATTTGTTTCGTATTCTTTTTGTGCAGTGCTGATCTTGTTCTAAAGCCTATTGAGGCTGTCTTCTTCTATTAGGTGTATGTAGGCCACATAGGAATGTTCTGTGCAGCCACAATGCCTTAATGAATGGCGGCTCCGATCTGAGCACGCTGGGCGCCAGCATCAGCAGGCCTTTGTTCACCACTCCTTCTGTGTTTTAGTTGTCTGTTTGTTTTTTTTAGTTTTTGTTTTCAGCTATGTGTTGGTCGTCTAGAAACTACATACATCTTTCTAAGCAATCAAGCCCACAGTTAGCCCAGATGAAGTGAAGGTCTGTGTATGTTTCTGGTCAGAGGGTTTGGTTTGCATACCAGCCCTCAGAGGCTGTTTGCTTCTGCTTCCTCGAGTCCCCTTGGACCCCCTGCCCCCAACACCTCCATCAGAATGTCGCAGCTAATCCGGATCCATGCAGCAGGAGCTTTTTTCTGTGGCGGGGTGCATACAAACCTTAACTGTTTATAGCCATGTCCAAGCTCTCTATATCTAGTGTGTAATAAGCCCTGCCTTATGTACCGTGACCTTGTATGTGGACCGTTTTCGTATGTTACCCCTCTCTCTTTCTTTTGTTCATACCTTTCTGAATTCATCCCCTAAAGAGAAGGGGACACAGTCCATCTTACCACCTCTATCTCTCTCTCGCTCCTTTTCATCCTGCTTTTATTTAACCTACAGCTGGCTAACAGACCCCTTCCTTCATGTTTTGTATTGGGCTGTCTCTCTCCATTTGCAGCAGCAGCTCACAGCCTTGTAGGAGGAGTTCCCTGAGAGGGATGTGCGTGACCGGCTGGCTGAGAGCGATTCTTACGTATGCTTCTGCAGAGCCAGCTGAGGGAGACTCTGTTTTAGCAAGCCCAGCTCTTATGGAGTGTGAGTGTGTGTGTGTGTATTCTGCACCTCTGTCCTTGTGCAGACCTGGGATGTTTAATTAGAAAAAAAAGAGAAGTTTCCATCTGCATTTTACCTCAGCTCAGGTTGATACTGAATCAAATATTTAGAGGCTTCAAGGTTAGAAGCAGAGAGGCGCTGCCCATCAGTGTGCTGTCAAGGGAATTTTTAATGCTGCTGTGGATCCCGTGACCTAATGTGGGATTTGGGGGGGGTTTCTCTTGGGTAATGAAGGGAGATACCAAAATCACCCCTCTGTCATTGCCTAAAATTCCCAGTATATATACATCACTTTTAATCGTAACAATGGATACACTGATCAGGGATTTATGACAATGTTCACTTTTTAAAAATCCTTAATATTTGTGCATCACCAATCCAATTAGCGTAACGCAAGAAGAAGAAAGAGGAAAACTGCTTTTTCTCATCAGAGGCCAGAGAAAGCATTCACTCTAAGGCAGGATTGAGCTTTTCTTTAAGCAAAATCAAAGTGATTGTTGAGTCTTTATTAAGTAATAATGTGTGTGCGTCTATCACAGTCTGCAAAGGTAAAATAAATTATTAAATTAGATTTATCCGAGGTTTTGCAAACAGTTAAACCAATATGTTTTCATACTGCATCAACCTTCATGTGTCCCTCTCAGCCTTAATAAACATCAATAATATGTAATTATTGATGTAATTGGTCTGGAAGAGTGTTTTCAGCCTGGTAGTGTTACCGTATTGTTCTTTAACTCATTGGATTCTTTCTACATTATTACCTTTCAAAATTAGTGGATTTTTCCATTGCAGTCGCTTTCCAACCTGTTTTTTTTTTTTAGCCTGTTTTGGTTTTAAGGGTTGAAGGATCAGACCCTTCTTCCCAACAGCCCCACCCACATTACAGCAGCAGGGTGGTTCACTCCGTCCTGTACTGTTTTTTTTTTGTATCGGTTGGGTTTTGTGAATGTTGTCTGATGAGTATGAATGAAGTCATTATCAGTTCTGCTTGTTCTGGTGTTTATGTGAAAGAAAGAACTGCATGTTGCTTCTCCCCAAAGCTTAGCCCACTGAAAAGCCTCTGAGGTTATTCGCTTAAAGCGGACAAACTGGAAAAGTTGTATCATTCCCTGCCTTCCTCCACACCCCTTCCCCAAACAAGACTCTTCAGTTAGTGAAATGACCCCATCCCATTCAGCAAAAACAAAATACGGGTGGATGGCTGTTGTTGCTAGGGAACCGTTTTTTTTTTTTATAACTGCCCCTTAATCCCTTATTGAATCAGCTCCCAGTTATCCACCTTCCTCCAGCTGTTTCCTTGTTTTAATGCCTGCTTCTTTTCTCATTATGTTTACTTTTTGGTTTGTCTTAGATGCGACAGAGGAGTTTTTCGAGTATGATGCCGAGGAGTTCCTGGTGTTCCTGACCTTGCTAATCACAGAGGGAAGGACACCGGAGTATTCAGTAAAAGGCAGGACTGAGGGGCTGCACTGTCCTCCAGCTCAGTCAGGCATGCCTCCTCTTCACAAGCATGAATGCAGTGACAAACTGCCTCAGGTACCAAACCCGACACAGTTTTTAATTTCTGTATTTTTTTTATCTGGATAGTGGAGAAAATATGCTTTTCCTTCTCTGTTTAAAATTTTCATTTCTCTGTTTCTCTAGTCTTAATAATGTCCTTTCCTTTCTGCTTTTCTGTTTTTTCTTTCAGTCTTTCTTCCCTTTCCTACTGTTTTTCCAGTAATGTTATTTCCTTTCCTGTGAACCTTAAATTGAGTTGATTTCAAAATCCCAATATAAGCCAATCCAATACTACCACAAACCCAGCATATCCATTAAGTTGCTCTTTATTGACTGAAATCTCCCTGTAACCCCCTCTGCTCTGTGTCTATGTCATTGATGACTCCCAGTGAACTCTAACCTTCCTATCATGTGTTTCCGCAGTGCCGGCAAGCAAGGCGCACTCGTTCTGAGGTGATTTTGCTTTGGAAAAATAACATCCCCATCATGATCGAGGTCATGCTGCTGCCAGACTGTTGTTATGGTGATGAGTGTCCCCCAAGCGACCCCATCAGTGACCCAGTCATCAAACAAGATGCTCTGCTGTTGGAGAGGTGGACCCTACAGGCTGTTCCTAGACAGTAAGGAGCGCACGCCCACCCACACAAACACAGTTGGATCAGCCGATGGACTGTTTAGGGAAGCTCCACATATTGTTGTATCGCCGCTAAGGAGCAAGAAAAAGAAAAGTACATTTAAAGTCCTTCTAGAGGTGCAATATGCTGAAACAAGGAAAAAGGAAATGTTAATGTGGAACTTTTAAAAGCAAAAGTTAAAATATAACTTAAGCCTGAGACCAGGAATCGAAGCTGTGACCTTTACACAGGACACCAGCTTAGCCCCTGAACCCTGCCATGCTCCAGTTACACCAAACATCTGAAATGATCACCTATCAGGTTCATTAAAACTTTTATTACCATTACATTTCTTCTATGATGATGCTGGTTTGTTCCTTTGATCTATATTCAGAAATCTAATCTGTTTCTTTGGCTTTAACAGGCCAAATATATGGATAGATTAACAGATTAACCTATTTCCATTGTCATTGAGAATCTACTCACTTCTTCCTTTTAGGCTCAAATAAATCTAGATTCCAGCTGAAGCACAATCACCTGAGCAATAATTATCCAATGCTAAGCTCTAACCCACTTGCTTCATTACATCCAGGTTAAGGCTTTACTTTTGGACAGGCAGTGTAAAGTGGATTGGTGTAAATCCACACCTGTTCATGAATGACCTTGGCTCAATCAAAGTTCAGAACTAAATACAATCTGTAACTAGATTTAGAAAAATAAATAAATACATAAAAAATGTACCTCAACCAATCTGAATGAGTTTATGTTAATTTGCAAAGAAAAATGCAAAGAATCTGTTTCTGCTGGTGCTCAAAGCTGCCAAATTGGTACTTTGAGATTTCAGCTATAACTGTTGTTAAGGTTGGTGCACAAAGTATGTCCTATTTTTTTGTTGTTGTTGTTGTTGCTGAAAACCAAATAGCATTTTACTTCCACATCCTACACAAAACACTTTAACCCCTATTTGCATCACTTAAAATCTCAATAAGATACAGTAAATTTTGTAAATGTGAGAAAAATAAACATTTAATGGAAATGTATTCTTTCACACAGCACTATAGATAATAATAATAAAAAATGCATTTTTTTTTTAAAGGCACCATTTAGAGCCCACAGTGTCTCCTTGCATAAATCCAAGCAATAAAGATGAATCTCTTCTCCTGAAACATAAACAGCTCTGACTCTGTTCCTTTAAGCAGGGCAGAGGGGCGTCATTTGGTTACAGCCTCTGGAGAATCGACAGCACCTCCTTTGGGTCCTTTGTGATGCATGGATGGGACTTATTCCTGCTCATCCCACGGATATTTGATTGGTTTGGGAGCTGGGGAGTTAGAGGGAAGATGACAGCCTTTATGTTGTGTTCCTAAAGTTATTCTTCAACAGTTTTAAGAGATTGTTGTTGCTGTCAGACAGTGTTATTATTGGTTTTAACCAGCCGGAAATATGGCCCCAAAAATGTATAACTCAACCTTTTTTTTTACCAAAATGGGTTTTTGCAGATATCTTTTTCATCACAAAATGCATTAAAAAGTGGAAAAATCATCATTTCCTTCATGTGGTACATGTGGGAGGTGGGGAGTGGGATAATTGGCCTTTCAGATTGGCCCACTTTCCTACTAACACATGTACAGACATTCTCCTTTAACGGAAAAAACACCCCCATCCCTGGACCATTTTCTCATTAACCTGACAAACTGGCACACTTCCAACACTTCTTGATCAGTTTGTTTTTTTTCTTTTAGAAGCGGTGATCGTTTCATTGAGGAGAAAACCCTGCTATTGGCTGTGCGCTCCTACGTCTTCTTCTCCCAGCTCAGCGCCTGGCTCAGCGCCTCCCATGGCATCGTCCCCAGAAACATCCTGTACAGGTCAGATAATATAACTCTCACTGAAACAGATGGGGTTTAGCCTCTTTAGCTCCACTGTTAAAGTTTCTGTGTCTAAAGGAAGAGTTTGAAGATTCAGAGTAGACCTTCACAATAACTGCCCTTCTCAGTTAATTATTTTTATTTCAGTAGAAGGGCAAATAATTGTATGCATCACACAGAGTGATTTCAATAATTTCATATTGGGATTATTAGCTGATTAAAAATCCATAATGTTAATGAAAAAAAAGGATTTTCAATGTTTTGGCCCCAATGAAGCACAAGACAGAAGTCCTTAATGGGTCATTCCTGAGGATGCTTTAGTTTAGAGTTCTGCTGGCTAGTATTAATGGAAAGTTTAGTGTTAGGAAAAAAGATAGTTGCAAAAGACTTCAGCAACTGAAATAACCAAGGATTTGAGATGATTATGAATTAAACCCCAATTTTTCAGAGTAGGTTGGAAGAGAATGAGTATAAACTAGAGCTGCAGATGCCACATATAGATCCATCCCACAGTAGGGTTCTTTCTATCAAGCTAATGCTGAACCAGAGGGGATATCAGATGGCTTTTAGCTCAGCTAAAGGGGAAATAAATGAGAAATAAGCAATGCTGTCATTAAATTAGCTGTAGCTGTTGTTAATCAGGAGCGTTCACGTTTCCATAGTGTTAAAGCTCCCCTCTGTGCTCCACAGGATCAGTGCTGCGGATGAAGACTTGGTGTGGCAGTTTTCCCAGCCGCCATCAGAGCACATTTTTCCTGTCCCTAACGTGTCCCAGAGTGTTGCCCTGCAGGTCCGTGTCCAGTCGCTCCCCCGCCAGCCCACCTATCCCAACCTGGCCTGTAGCATCCACACCGGCCTGCCTCCCATTTACAGCAAGACCCCCAGCCTCAGCCCAACCCTCAGTAGCCATGGTGGCCTGCCCACCCTGAAAAAGAGCCAGGATCCCAGCAAAGACAGCCTCCATCCCAACTCAAACATGTATGCCAAGAGCTCCAACTCCCCCTCAAGCCTTCTACTCAACGGATTACCCATCCCTAATCTGCCCATCAACAACATCCCGATTAACAGCCTTTCTCACTCTGCTGTGTCACATCCATACAGCAAGAAGAGCCAGGAGCCCAGTGAAAATCACACCTATCACAACGGAGAGCTCCCACAGGTCAACACGCCCCAGCGTCAGGCTTCTTCACTGCTCTACAGAGCCTCTCACTCCCCCACACCCTCCCGCTCTAACTCCCCCTCCCCTCTTCCCTCCAGCAAAGCAGGGAAGTGGTTGTACTCGGCCCTCAATGGCTCGTCTGATCCTAACCAGGTGGATGACTATAGCTCTGGTACCACCAACGCTGAGCAGAACAAGGCTCCCATCCCAGAGCCTTTACGGAGTTTCAAGAACTTATCCATGGCTGAGCCGTCCCGGTGCCCCTCCCCGAGGCCTTCCGGAAACGAAACAAATCCCTTGATTGGCTCCCTGCTGCAGGAGAGACAGGAAGTTATAGCGCGAATCGCACAAAGACTCAACTTCTGCGACCCGACAGCCCCGCCACTCCCCCCTGGCCTGTTTGCGTCTGACAACCCTCACAAAGCCATGTGGGGCGGTAACCATGACGACAAAGCCGCCAGCAAGACCAAAGAAGCCGAGGTGCACCCTTACGAGTCCGTGGGACGTGTGAGGCCAGCCCTGTTCAACTCTCCCGTGACGGAAACCTGTTTTGTCAAACGAGAAAGTTCCTCCCCGAAACCCGCCGCCTGCAGGAAGCTGAGAATGAGCGAGGCAGCGGACAGAGCGGAGGAGAGGAACGGGGATCTAAAGGACAGAGACAGCTCCCTCATCGCCCAGGCAGTGCAAGACATCACCAGGCTCATTCAGGAGAGGCTCTCTGTCCCATCTTTGTCCCGCAGCACCAGCCCACTGCACCAAGTGCACACAACCACAGTCACACACACCATACGCACATACTCACACCCCCCGCAAGCACTGCAACCCGCCAGCAATGGCTACACCAATGGCCACGTACCCAGCCATGAACCTCAACGAGGCAACACGCACAACGCTGCCTCGCAAAAGCCCGTTTGCACAGACAAGCCCCAAGCTGGACCGAGGACCGAATGTCATTCTTCCCGGGCCCAAAATGGTGCTCAGTTTACACTTGAAGAAACTTCCCTCAACAGCCAGGCCGACCCCCAGCCAGGCAGGCGTTTACGAATCAGGACACCCAGCAGCCATGAAATCCCTCCTGTCTCCCCCATCCTGGAGAACAGACCAAGGAATGCCCAGATCATCAGCTGGACTAACCACGACGCCAGCCCAGCTACAAACTGTTTCAGAATCAGTGACAACAGCAAGCCTCAGACACAATCTCAGACACAGGCACAGAGCATTGTGCCAGCTCAGGCCTCTGCTCTCCAGGATGAGAACCAGGCCCCCTCAGAGTCTGGGTCCTTCACATCCAGTCCAGAAACAACTCCATCACCCTCACTCCTCGTAAGCTCTTCTGGTTTCTTCATGCAATAATCCCAGATTGTCGATCTTATCGTAGCTCTGCATCATTCTCCATCTGTAGCATATTTCCCTTCACCCAACGGGCTGCATTCCTGACTCTTCATTCCCTTTTTGCAGCGTCCTCACAGCCCCTCCCCCTTGCGTCCCTGCAACAGCTGGAAGAAGCAGAATCGACACTCTTTGGATGCCACGGCAACAAAGGCCTTCCACCCCTGCACTGGCCTGCCTCTGCTCTCCAGCCCCGTAAGAAACACACAGCTGCCCACTCATGTACAGTAAACCTCAGACCGTGTAGATGCAGGCATGCAGAGCAGTCAGCGCGGGCGTCCATGCATTGGTTTTTATTAAAACGACAATGCTCTTTCTTACTAGCCAAATGAAGCATAATATCTGCATCATAAATCCATCCGGAAAAATGCTACAAATGCCAAGCACACTAAGCAGGGTTTTTTTATTGGTATCAAAGTGTGCAAAGGTTTTTAAAAGGGATACTTTCAAAACCACTTAAACGTTTTTTTTTTTTAATACATCTAGTACCAGGCTCGGATTGGGAACGATCCCCCCCACCCCATTAAAAAAAAAAAAAAAGAACTATAGTCAAAAGCATGCGTCTTAAATGTGAAACACAAAACGAATACACATCGTGGATTAACTGATCTATTTTCAAGCATCATACTACAACCATCAACGAGACTATAATGTGGTTTCACTGGCTTTGGTTATTAACACGGATGCGACAGTGACTTCAGCAGGGTTGCCAGGTGTCACTGACTCACATTTTCCAGCCCAAAAAATTTTCATAAATCGCCTGGAAATACGAAACCTCGCCCAATTTGAACCAAAGTCTATTGATCTCTTGGGCCATAATTCTAATGAAAAACATTTTTTACCCATAGACGGTCATCCTAAACTGCCAGATTAGGAAACATCCCAACCTGGCAACAATGCACGTAAGATGGGAAACGTTAGCCTTTAGATGCAAAAACCCATCATGCACCACGACATCTTTTTGCAACATAAATTTGCCAAATATAAGAGGAGTATCGTAGTTTGGTTTAAAGAAAGCATTTTAGTTTCATTATAATTTAGTTTGTTGCAAGGATTTTACAGTTTGAAGAATTAGAAAATGACACCATATGCCAACTGTCACAAGGATGAGCATGACAAGGAAGGGCTATATATACTGCATGCATCATTTAGTTATTTAACATTGCATTACTTCTTGAGCTGCTTGCGTTATTTACTGTCACAGGTAGGTAGGTGCTTCAGCCGGAGAGTGAGTATTGTGGCCGGTATGATTTAAGGAGGGCCGGCCCTCGCACGCTGAAATTAGGACCAGCCTGCTGGGCAAATGCCCGGTATCACAGATTACCAGTCAGAGCCTGTTTAGTACCATTAAAGCCCTTAAAGTTGTTTGAATCAGCACTATCAGTCAGCTGCACCAAAGAAGCTGCATTTCCCCCAAGATTACAAGTAGGACAAATTAAGATTTTTGAATAAATCTTGATAATTGTAAAACAGTGACATTCTACTAAAACAGCACCACCCATCACAGTCATTAATATTAATATAATGCTCTCTGTAGCTGCAGTTTGGAAGCTATGAGCAGTGTGTTAGTCAAGCAGCCAACTGTGCGCTGACTACCAGAGCAGATGGTCTGAGTAATTAACCAGCTAATACCAGGGTGTTTGCCTCCATATTAAAGAGCAGAAATATCAAATTGTTGAATTTGATCTTAAACATTTAAACTGTTCTAAATGTAGCAGCTGTTTAGACGCAGTTATCCTATTGATTATAAAAAAATAATTTAAAAAAGGGTTGAAATCCTTGGGATGTGAGCGATTAATCGGATCGAACCAAAACTAAATGCTGTGGTTAGTTTGGTAGAGGCATGTATTTTATAAAAAAAATGTATTTTATGTATAGAAAACAAAATTTTATAGGCATCAAAAGTAAAACCGTTAATTATTTTGGTAGAATTTTAAAATATAAGTCTTTATCCTAAATGTATGCTTAACACAATGTATATAAAAACATGATGGACAACATTAGATATCATAAAAATTCTTACAGTTATAGAAAGGATGACTCTTTGAAGCTAAAAATTTTTTTTTTTAATGTTTGAGTTAAATGGAGAATTTCTACCAGCCCATGTCTAGTAAACTCAGAATTCCTCCTAGATATTATAAGGAAAAAGCTTTTTTAATATTTTTCTACGTTTTCATAAGAGGCTGTAAAATCACACATCCTAACTCGCACTTCACAAAAGGTCAACTGTAAAGAAGTTTAACTTATTTGCTTCTGCTTTTTTCCAGCACATCTCATCTGCAGATCAGGTTCACTGTTTAAAAATGAAAGAAGTTGCATTAAACTTGCTCTTGGTTTAACGTAGGCGACATCAGCTGCTCTGTTTTAATCGTGTTCTGTCTGCCTGCTGCAGGTTCCTCAGAGGAAAAATCAAACAGGTTACTTTGACCTGGACACCTCTCTGACTGGCTGTAAGGGTTTGCCTTGGGCCTCTGGGAAAAGGTACACATTTTCTCTTCTGGGATCTCTATTAATGCAGTTGAAAAGCTCAGTTTCTCCACCAGGTCAAGGTCAGATTAGGTGTTTGTATCTGATCCTGTAATAACAGCTACTGTCCATTTGATCTGTCAGCTTTCATGCAGTCTGCAACTGAATCCTTTCATCTCAAATTGGAACTTGAGACTTTTGTTCCAAATCTGTCCAATGTGAGCTCTGCATTTAAAATTAAACATCAGAAACTACATTTGCTGCCCTTTTCTGTTTGCAGCTTTAGTAACAGTAGTCTCACAGGGAAGCCCCAGCATAACATCCACTGTCAGGCAGTACTGGGGACTGTAAAAGAGAGTGGGTGGAAGAAGTGGTTGTCTAATTAAAAGATAACAGGCTTTATTGGTATTATTATGAAATGACACATTTTAATTAATCCAACAACCCTGTTTCATAATTACAAACATAGCCCACCTCTTCTCCAGAGATGCATGCTTTAATGCGACTGCCGTATGCTAACTGTAAGGCAGTGGAGCAAACAGAATGCAGTTTGATTAATAAGTCTGAATGTCTAGAGTTGTTTAAAAAGTTTAAACAAACAAGGCGTGGGAGGTTAGATTAGTTACTGGTTCTATTTTTTCATTACTGACACATTTTTGTTTTTTGTCTTGCCTCTATTTTCTATTTTGCTCCAAGTTGAAAACATTGCAGTTAAGAGAGGGTCGCCTGGTTCACTGGAAATATACATAAGAATTTAATGATCATTTAGGGTTTTTTGGGGGGGGGTTGTCCATTATGGCCTAAAAATACAACTTAGAAATTAAGTGAACTATAAAAAAAAGTTAAAAGCACAATTTCTGAATTTATTTTGGAGTTTCTCTCATCTTCACTGATCAAAGAAATAATAGGAGTGTCCCAATATAGCTATTTGATTTAAGATTGTAATTTTTTAAAAGATTTTATTTTAGAATACCTGTATTGCAGCTTTGTGAATTGAATGATACCAATATTGACCCAATACCAATATGAGCACAAATCCTATTATTACGTTTTTGTGTAGAATGTTATGAAAGGTTTAATCCAGTGATATAACTAAAACAGAGAAAAATAGTCAACAACAGTAGGCGTTTCTGTCAGCATGGCAATATCAGAGACTATAGATGCCAGCTGATATAATCTAATATCAGTTCTTTGGCTAATATCAGACAGATTAATGATATTAATATTGGATCTGGACACCCCTTCAAAATAAGTCATTTAAACCTAACAAAACTGAACCAACTGTAAGCTATAGTGGTGGCAGCATCATGCTGAGGCTGCATGTGACACCGGTGTATCACACAAAGTAATTAAATACCTCCAAATGCTTAACATCAACTGAAATTTAAAATAACGGTTAAATTCTATTCTTAATATATTGTTTATTCTTAATGCACCTTTTACCTCCTCATTTGCACCTTCTTTAATTACTATGCCAATATGTGACCAGTGAATTTCTCCGCTGTGAGATCAATAAAGCTCATCTAATCTAATCTAATCTAAAAAAAATCCTGGGATAAAAGTTTGTGTTTTTTTTAACAGGGCAGTGATCCCAAATGCTTTAAAACTGATGCAGCAGGAGGACATTAAGATCCGGAGAAGCCTCATTTAAAACCAAAGATTTTAAATTAGCTTTGCCATTTCTGATTAGAAGAGAAGCTGAATATCAAATGTTCCAAAGAAACATGATAATGGATATCTAAAGAAATATTAGTTAGGCTGTAGTTTTATATTTAAGCTCTTGTAGATATTGATCAATTAAAGATGAGAGTAGATGCACAAAATCATTCAAATTTTACACCTAATTCTTACTAACATTGATTAAAGTTGCTTGTAAACAAAGCCCCAAGTGAACTCACTGTGTATAAACTCCTAACTGTATGATCATTGTCATTTAATCAGAATATTAGCCATCTATTAATAACCATAACACCAACACTGCTCTGGGCAGACATCAGCATGTGGATGACCTCTGTTTCTATGGATAAAGGGAAATCTCCTTACTGTGCTAAAAAATAAAGGTCTGCTTAGCTGTGGCCAAAGCTACCATTGTACACATTCATCTGTAAATGGCAGTCAGAACTAAGCTGGCTTTATATCCAGAGACTCATGCCTCTGCCTACACAGAGGAGATGTGGGTGGAAGCTCAGTGCTGTTCATTTGAGAGCAGATGTTTAAGGAGTTTAGGATTCCGGGTTAAAGGTTCATTTCAACCATCACACCGTGTCCGATCACCTGCTTAGAAATGACAAGCTATTTAAAAATGTGAGTGGGACAGGCTGACCTTGTTCTTCTGGTGGATCATGCAGCTGTTTGCAAACAAATAGGTGAGCCTGGGGTGATATTTCATAGGAATGTTTAGACCTGGCAGGAGTGTTTGTCATTTAAAGCACAATGAGATGCTCCTACATCAGACCTTGAAACCAGTTGATCAAGCATGTGTGGGTTTTAACCCTTTAGGGTGTGTCCTAAGAGAGAGGAGAGCGCCGATGAGTCGCATCAGCTGTTCAGCGCTAGTGCTCCTCCTGCCAGCCTAAGCCTGCTGGGGAACTTTGAGGTGAAACATCATCAGTGTCCTTCTGTAAAACATTTCATAGTTCACATTAAATGCTGATTATTAGATTTGTACTTTTGTATAACTTCAAGTTCTTCTTGTTTAATGTTGAACTGTTCTGTAGGAGTGTGTGTTGAACTATCGACTTGAGCCTTTAGGGACAGTAGAAGGTTTCGCAGCAGAGGTGGGAGCCAGCGGCTCCTTCTGCCCAAGTCACCTGACCCTACCAGTAGATGTGTCATTCTACAGCGTCTCTGACGATAACGCTCCCTCGCCATACATGGTGAGCTGTTTTCTTTTCTTTTCTTGTTCATCCTGCATGGCTGAGCTTAAAGATGAAACTGCCCTCTGTTCATGTTGTGTGTGTGTGGCGTGTGTGTGTGAGCTCCTTCGGTATGGCTGCTGGTGACATCGTGATTGTCGTGTGTTCTCTCACAGGGTGTGATAAACCTGGAGTCCCTGGGAAAAAGGGGCTACCGTGTACCTGCATCAGGAACCATTCAAGTGGTTAGGAATTTTTTTTCCCCCACAGTTTCAGAAATGTCATATATATGTTATTTCCTGGCTATATTGCAGAACACACAAAGCCACCAAAGAAAGAACAACTAAACAGAAATTGGAGTCACCTAGTGGCCATAAGGGGAACTTCATCCTCTAAGGTCCAGGGTTCATAGCTCTGCAAAGGCCTTGGTTACACATTCACAGTTGGCACCTATATTTCTATATTTAAATAGATTTTACTTGCAGTGTTTAAAAAATATGTACAACATGTATTTCACTGACATAGATGGAATAAAACCACATTGGCTTAATTGCTTAGTAATTCCAAAACAACTTCACATAGAGCCAACATATTGTGAGTGGCAAATGAAACAATTATGCATTTAAAATGGGTTTTCTAAAAGACAGATACACCTAAGTTTTTTTTTTACATACATTTTAATGAATTATTTCTCTATTTGATTTTATGTTAGTTTTAGCGATCAATAAGACAAATCAATCAGAAAAGCAAAGAGGAAACATTTAATTAAGCCTCAACTTATTACTGACAAAAAAATCAGCCTAGCCAGTTCAAATAATTTAATGATGTAATGCATTTTATTCTATTTTTGATTTGTGAAAAAAAAATGTATTTTAGGGATGTTGCTGCTGTATTTATAATTAGCATAATTATTATGACATCATGAGCACGTTAGAGTCTACATTCTGTTTTGGTTATGGCCTTGAAACACTGTGCTCAAATAGATGTAAAATTATAAAAAATACATATAAAGCTGTTCCAAGAGAAACATCCAGGTAAAATGCTCTAGTGTTAGCCATTCTGTGTCGCATCTGTACACATAAGCAGACAGCTTTACCCAGCAACGTGCCACTCACAATATGACTGTGTTCTGTCAGATGAGCATACCCATAGTCAATACCCGTTTAGCCGTTTAGTTTTTCCTGATGGTTTTGTATGAAAAATAAAACTTCAAAATACCTCAACAGGCATTTATCCCTTTAGTCATGTAGAAAAAAAATGTAATTACTTACTTTTTTATGTTCTTTTTAAGCTTATGGCGAAATTTTTTTTACATAACTTAAGGTAAACACGACCATTGAGTCTATTTTTCGTACAAAACTAAGGGATAAATCTGACGTCTTGCTCATGCGCATTGACTATTGGTATGCTGGTCTGGCAGAACACCGGCCTCATTGATGTACCATCTGGATCCAGGATCTATTTTCTATATCTATGGCGTACCCTGCTTAGATTCAACCCTCATAGGATCCTGGAAGGTCCACTGACCCCTGCTTGTCTGTCTGACTGCGTCCCTCAGACCTTATTCAACCCCAACAAGACAGTGGTAAAGATGTTTGTTGTGATGTACGACCTAAGAGCCATGCCAGCTGGACACCAGACCTTCCTACGCCAGAGAACCTTTTCAGTTCCCGTTCGCCGCGACGCCAACAATCAGATCAACAGGAAGCCCCTCACCCCAGGCCAAGGCCGCACCCTGCGCTACCTCATCCATCTGAGGTCTGTTACCGTCAGGGGAATTTAACCAGTTTTATTAGTTGCTTTTTTTTCTCCCTCATCTTCTCTTGTCTCATCACCACCAGGTTCCAGAGCTCAAAGTCTGGAAAGCTCTACCTTCATAGAGACATCCGTCTATTGTTCTCCAGGAAGTCCATGGAGGTGGACAGCGGTGCTGCCTACGAGCTCCAGTCCTTCACAGAGTCCCCCATAGACCCTCCTTTTTCTCCGCGCTGCTGAAGCCAGACGCCTCATCACTCCATCCAACAGGCCATTCCTGGAACTTCAGCCACACCTCAAAGCCAGCACTGAACTTTCACTCCATCAGATCATAGTTGTGAATGTTTTATTCTAGACAGATTAGGTCTAGGACGACAGTCAACATGTCCTGTTGACGGGAGTCCAAAGGCTTCACTTCCCAAAAAAAGTAAAAATGGGGTTCAAAAAATAGCCTGAGAGACTTGTTGTGGATACACCTTGTTCTTTTTGAAATGCACAACCTTGGAACAGGAGGATGTGGTCTAAAATTATCGATAGGATCCTATTCAAAATATTTCTGCCATAATTTAATGACATTTCTTCTTTCTTTGGAGTTTGGTGCTTCCCTTCTAGTATCTGGTTTGAAAAAAGAGAAATTGAATCTGAAGTTCAGGTAGTTTCCTCTGCCAGCTCAAATCAAAATAGTTTTTCCTCTCAGAATACTTGTTTTCATTTATTCCTCAAAATTTCTTCACCTTTATTGGTGCGATCCGTATAATATCAGATTGACTCTGCAGAAGGTGATGTTAAATGTGGGACCCTATGAATGCTGAGCTTGGAGGGACTGTCTAGGAGGAACGGAACACAAACCATGGACCATCAAGGAACATGCTATTACAATATTGTACCTGGAGGAAAAACAAATCACAGCAAACACACACTGTGGATTATAATTTTGTATTTTTTGGTTTTTCATTATAACTGGAAAAGGAACAGAAAATAGTCATATTCTAATACTTTTGTACTGTTACAAAAACCACTTTATTGGAACTGTTGCAATAGAATGAGTAACATTAGTTTAGTGTTTACACGTTCACTTTTCAATTTACTTACCGCAGTTTATTTAATATTTAAATTAATATTTCAGTTACTATCTGTGACGTCCGTCATGCTAAGATGTTGTAGTGCAGACTGTATATCATAGTGTGTATTTTTGACATTAATATTCAAATCTGAAAAAATATATATCTATCTTCTAAAGCAATCTGGACATGCTTTGGTCTCCTTGTTTTCTGTTGTTCATCTAAACACATCTACTCACTGTTATCTAAACGTTTAGAGGGGCTTTTACTGCACTTGGAAGACAACACACAAAAAGTATGAAAGACATGTTGATTTAAATAGAAAAGCTACATTTATTCTTACTACTGATGAAAAATTAAAGGAAAAGTCTGGTCAGCAAGGAATGATCAATGGATCATTATACCTAAAACTAATACGTTTGCAATGATTTAATGAATTTAGTGTCAATCAGTAAAAAAATAATTTTCGTTGCAATCACTGAGTCTGGGAGCGTCCATTTTTGCCCAAATATAGAAACACCTCGGTTCTAAAATCTTCCGGCAGTGACATCACTGTGCGGTAAGCCTAACGCCATTCTCCCCGCTTTACAAGCAAAATGAATGGGAACTAATGGGCAGTTGGATGTACATTGGATAAAAATAAAAAAATATATAGTTGTTTCACCTTTCTGATTCATGATCGTCCACGAATGGGTTCATCATTAGATTTCCAACTTGAAGAGGGAGGATTTGCCATCGAATTTCTGTCCAGAGAAAAAACACGTGATATGTAGCCAACATTTGGAAGAAGAATGTTTTCAAGCTGACTTGGATAATAGCGCGTTGTGACAAACACCAGATACAGCACTGGGACTTGATCAACAGCTGATACCGCATCATGACGTCACCAACCAGTAGGTGGCAGTAGTGTTCTTTGACAAACATGGATGCCTCCAGCGAAGCACATTCAAATGAATTTACTCTTAATTAAAAACACTTAAAATTCATTAAAAAGAATGTATTAATTTCATATTTAAAGTACTTTCAGAAGTTTGAATTCTGAATATGACCGGACTTCTCCTTTAAATATCAGAGTTGTATGAATGTTTACACACACACACGCACACTATATATATATATATATATTTGACATAGCTGTTTTTTTTATTACTTTATAATTTATTGATACATATGGAATAAAAAATATGAAAAAAACCTAAGTAAGTGAAATAAGTGAAAGAATCTTTGATATTTCAGATTCTTCTAAATATCCCCTTTGATTACTGCTTTGCACATGTTTGCATTCTCTAGAGGTTAACAGTGGTGAATGACACTGTTTTTCACACTACTGTTCTGGTCAGAAATATTTCTAACCTCCATATTTAATCAATTCACTTTTGAGATAGGATGTGGTACATATAGCTTTTATTTTTTGGTTAGTTTTTTAAGAAAGTGGGGTGTTTTACACATATTGAACCCAGTTATTCCAGAAAATATTAATTACATGAATTAATGGTGGGGTCTGTAAACATTTTCATAGTTTTTCATTCACTTTATTTTTTCAGCTTTTATTGTCCTAATGATGTCACAAGTACAGAGCAAAAAACAAAATGAACTCTGCATTTAACCCATCCCCTTGGAGAGCAGTGGGCTGCCATTGTGCAGTGCCCAGGGAACAGTGTGGGGTTAAGGCTCCTGATTAGGGACCCAGAGTGGCAGTCCGTGGGAGTGGGCCTCGAACTCAGAACCTCTGGATTCCAAGCTATGCCCTAACCACTAACCCTAACCTCATAATGTTTTAAGGTTATGTTTTAGATTCTAGAGTCCAAAGTCATCCAAGGATCGATTGATTTGTATTCATGGATATTGACTCTTCTAGCTCCACATGGCAATGCCTGCTGAGAGAATAAAACCTAAACCTCAGTGATTAAAAACACAGCATTCCTACAAAAACGGGTTTCCAAGGGATTAAACAGGTCTTTACTAGTACCAGTACTTTACAATCCATGTTTTTAGCACTAAATGTACTAAAACAGGAGTTACATCACTGATTTATTTTTATTCCTGATCTTGAATTGTGGGATGCGCTTCTGAGTCATGTGTTATCACGAGAAGTTAGAATTTATATAACAAACTCCCAGTACATAAATGTAAAATGTGACGATAATAAAAGAATAATAATAAAAAAAAAAAAAAAAACAAGCTGTCCTGCTGGTTTAAGGATTAGTGGCAGCACATGCGCCTAACAGCTGATCGGGCTGATGTTACGCAATATGTCAATCTGATCCGCGGCGTGCGCGTGCACCTTTTGAGCCCACGAACGGGAGCGGGGACGCGCATGGTGTCTCCGCCGCATGTGACGTAGAATATTTGGTCCCGGTGTTATGTCCAAAAGTGCATGCCTGCCGAAATATGAATCCCCAGTCGTGGGAGCGCGCCTTGCTCTGTTGAACTGCATATCGACGAGGAAAACGGATTAAAATATGTTTAATGGAGCTTAGGTTTTTATATTAATGATATAAACACGTTTAAAAATACCTCTCGTGGGAAAAAAGTTGTGGTTATTTGGCAGATTGATTTACAAAAGTACGGATTTTTTGAACAACATTAAATCCAAAGATTTTGACCATGGTACGGCTGATTTATTTGTTGTGGTCTTTTGT